TCTTCAGAAATAGAGATTTCGAGAAAAGTGGTCAGAAGTAGAGATTTATTTGTATTCAGGAATAGAGATTTGTAGAGAACAGTAGTCAGATTTGTCTTCAGAAATAGAGATTTCTAGAGAAAAGTGGCCAGAAGTAGAGATTTCTGTATTCAGGAATAGAGATTTCTAGAGAAAGGTAGTCAGGTTTGGCTTCAGAAATAGAGATTTCTAGAGCAAAGTGATCAGAAGTAGAGGCTTCTAGAGAAAAGTGTTCAGATGTAGTGGTTTCTAGAGGAAAATGTCAGAAGTAGAGATTTGTATTCAGGCATAGAGATTTCTAGAGAAAAGTGGTCAGATTTGTCTTCAGAAATAGAGATTTCTAGAGAAAAGTGGTCAGAAGTAGAGATTTCTAGAGAAAAGTGTTCAGATGTAGTGGTTTCTAGAGGAAAATGTTAGAAGTAGAGATTTGTATTCAGGAATAGAGACTTCTAGAGAAAAGTTGTCAGAAATAGAGATTTCTAGAGAAAAGTCAGAAGTAGAGATTTCTAGAGGAGTGTTCAGACGGAGAGATTTCTAGAGAAAAGTTGTCAGAAGTGACTTCACATTGAAGCTTTCTTTTGCTTCGAAGTGAAAGGAAGATTAGGTGATGACGCAACTGCATTTCAGCGTCTCAGTGTCTTGGCATTGATGGTAATTGAAAATGAAGATTAGCTGCTGATAGGCTGATTCGACTGTATTTCAGAATCATCTCAGTATCTTCACACTGAAGCGTCGCATTGTCGGGAGGAAGGGGTAGGTAGCTAGTGTCTGTATCCGCATCATTGGTTGTTTGATGATCAGGAAGATTAGCTGATGTTAAAGATTCTGAAGCGTCTTAGTGCAATGCGACGATATTGTGCTCAGTTTGTGTGGCCGCTTTTGTTTTATGGGAAAACTTGAATGCTGACATGGCTAGATTTCAGAAGTGTCTCAGAAGCTTCGCAGTTTAGAATCACTTGTCAAACCAGAACTGAATCGCCCGGACTGCTCAAGCTTTTCTGCGGCTTAAGCTTTTACTTCTGGTGAATTGCGCCGGACATCAAGAAGCTAAACGGTAGCATCAGTCTCTGTACTCATGTTTGTTAGTATGTGGCATAGACTTCCGCTTGCGGTTATGGTGATGAAGAGATAGTGGATACGGTCGCAACTTCAGTGGTATGCTTAGAGAGGATGGCAGAGGATACATTCAAGAAAAGACTGCAAATTCCAAACCTTTCAACATTTGAAAGATGTTGAAAGATTTGTTTCGAGTCTGTACTGTGATTTGTTAGTGTTTGTCATGTTGTTATGTTAGTCGGTATGTGGCGTAGCACTTCAGCTTGAGGTTATGGTGATGAAGAGCTACTGGAGACGGCCGGAACTTCAGTGGTATGCTTGGAGAGAAGCGCAGAGAGGTTTACTGTCCTCGCAGAAGCTACTCTGTTGTGCTTTTATGCAAATATCGATCGACTGCTGCAGGTTCTTGGAAACATCGTTCGACCATATGCAGGTACGGCGTCGTCCCAATTGGAAAGCTCTGCGACATAGATTCCAAGGCGCAAATGATGTGCTGACAGTGACAAACAAAATCTTTGGTCTTCACTTTACAGACGGTTATGACGTCTTTTGCACGTAATACTCATGACGACGCTGAGGTTCACGCACACGACCTGCTTTCGTCTGCGCGATGAAAAAGAGCTTGGCTATAGGGTTTTACGTCGGCAGAGCGATGGGGTTTTACTTCGGCTAGTTGTGGCTGTACACACATGTCTGCACAATACCTCGTACATCCGCCGTGCACATTACTCTCCCACACCTCTCTCCCACCCCTCTGTTGTGTAATTCTGATATAATTCCTGACAAGGCCATGTTGTAGAAGCTATTGAGACTCTGGCTGCTTTGTGCTTTAGAAACTTAAGATTCGTAAAGGCCCATATGTGGGGTTATCCGGTCCTTTAATTGTTTTTTGAAGCATGTTTCTGTGGCCTTTCTTGGTTGTCAAGGTACAATGTGGACTACACCACGCTGTTGGAAGAGGGCCAGCGCCAAAGCCAGCGCATACGCCGAGTTGGTGCCACCTTATCAGCATTGGCACGAGCGAAGAACATCAGGGCACATCCACAACTAGGACCAAGTGCGCGCCGAGGTGACAGCCGACAACGGACATGACAAGGTGCTGGTCTCGAGGAACATTCTGAGCCTACAAAGTCGCTGTTAGAGACCCGAGACCTTTCCAGATAGTTGGAGGTTGGTTTAGTTTGTTTGGTGCTTCCGCATTTTCAGTGTGAACAAAAGTACACATGGCGTCGCTCAAAGACATTCCAGCAGCTTCATTGAATACCAAACAGAAAATGCGATTGCCCTTTTGGAGGCCTACTGCACAGTGGATCCTGCTCTTTGGCAGGAAATGCAGATAAAGTTGCAAAGCTTCCGGGAGGAGCAGGTGCGATGAAGTTTCTGGAAGTTTCCACCTATTTCCTTTAACTTTGGTCTGCAGGAATGGCTGCTGCGCTTGCTCCGAAGCGACCAACACGGCGCGACGGAGAAAGCGGACGTGAAGTCAGATGGTTTCTACGGAGCGCTTGCTGAGGACTGTGAGAGACTGTCAGAGGACTAGTTGCAATGGCCTCCACCCTAGTAGCGATGGCCTCCAACCTTAAGTTTCCCTAAAAATCTAGGAACCAAATCATTAGTGCGAGCGCTTCTTCAAGGAAGCTTCCCCCGCCGGCAGTTTCCTTGAAGAAGCGTGAGCTATCCTGCGTCGAAGGTAGTAGCTACCTCTCCCTGACTTAATTCAGTAGGCGGCTACTTAATTAAGTAGGGAGGGGAAGGCAGCGGGCTAAAAAAGAAGTGGAGTTTTTCGTCTCCAAGGAGGTGAGCCGCTTGTGGCAACGTGTGGGGCGACAAGCCGAAGAGTTGGAAGTGCTGCGCAGCCAAGTAGAGCGAAGCCGTCAGCTGCTGGAGCGCTTGCGCTGCTTGGAAGGAATCAGACCAACAGGATCAGACATGGAGCAATTTGAGTCACTTGATTTGGATTGAAAAAAGGAAGTCAGAACAGCCATGCGTGAGAGAGACACATTCCCAAATGCATGTAGCGCGCTAGAAGAGCACAACAGAACTATTCAGAACTTGATTGGTGTAGTCCAACAGCTTTAAGCTGCCTAAGCGCCAGCTGCTACTTTAACCGATGGATGGTTTTCCACAGACGTCTTAACTCTGCACAGATGATCCAGGCACGGCAGTGCTGCCCGGTCGGCTGGTTTGGGCTGCAGGGCGCCTGGGCGTGGCTTCAGCTGTAGAGTCCCAGCAGGTGCACGTCAATGAAGGAGAAGGCCTGGAGCAAATACACTCAGCCCTGGAGATTTTCCAGGACAAGGACGCTACTAGGGGCTCCTGATGGCTCCTGGCCTTACTACTAGTAACAAGAAGCTACTAGTAGCGATGCACCTGGCTGGATTCTCTTGCCCAAATTGCTTTCATTTTGAGACATTCGGCAGGTCAAGATTGGGTCGTACCCAAAGAAGAGGTACGAAGGGCTCCACTTGGGCTTTTGGCAAGGCCAGGGTCCAAAGTTTTGCACCCGCATGAAGGACCGAGCACCAAAACAGCTTCGACACGTGGGAATTCATGCATCCGCACCATGCTGAAACTAGACTGAATTGATGCTTTCTGTGTTGTTTCTGCAGGACGCAGCCTAAAGGGCGTTGTTTGTGGAACATCACTGCCTCGTGCATCTGACGAGCATGCTGCAGTTTGCAACTTGGCCACAGCAGGTAAAAAGGATTGAAGAAGGGCGAACGGATGTGGACCTTTTTTTCATAGAGCATAAACCCTAAACCCTGAACATTCAGCAAGTCGAGACAGCGGAGCTTCATTTCTTTGTTGGGATTTCTTTGAGGCAGTGATGCAGGTGATGTGCATGAAAGCAGACACTGCGTGGATGTCCTTCGAGCAGACGGGCGTTGTTCTCGAATGCCACTTGCTTGGCTCGAGCTGCGAGAGAGCGGAGTTGAAGGCTTCACTTTACTTCGCTGTACTTGGAAAAAGAATTCGGTTGGAAAAGCACAAAGAAGAAGAAGAGGAGGAGGAAGAAGAAGAAGAGGAAGAGGGAAGAAGAAAAGGCAGAAGCAGAAGGAGACGGAGAAGGAGAGGGAGGAGCAGGAGCAGGAGCAGGAGGAGGAGGAGTAGGAGGGGTGTGAGGAAACAGCAGGAGAAGAACAGAACAAGCAGGAGAAGCAGAAGTTCCCAAGACTCGTTTCCCTCTATTGACAAGCATCTATTTGTATGCCTTTCATCTCCTCGAGTCCTAGAGTCGTGTGTGTTTGACAAGTAGATTCAGGAGAGAGAGAGAGAGAGAGAGCCAACTAGTTGGGGAGAGGATAACGAAAAGACACACATGGGAGGCCAACCTTTTAGTGTTGGTGACGTGGTGCTGCTCGGCTGCAATATGCATTGATTCACTCTGTCGGAAAGCCGACCTTCGAATCATGGACAATTCTGTAATTCTGTATATGATTCTGTTTGTTCACTGCTGTATAGAGTGAGATTAAAAAAGATACATTCTAGCACACATGTAATTAAACACATCAGCGGAGAGGCTTGAACACCGTTACGTCAAACCAAGTGGGCAGGGTTTCCCAGGATGAATAATTATCTTGCCGAAGGCGAGCGCGCGAGAATGACAGCTTCGGAGCTGTGGATGATGGTGGCGAGGCTGCATGATGTCTTTGGTTTGGCAGAACCTCTGGTTGTGACCATTTTCATGGAGCGGCCACCCAACTCATCCGGAAAGGTTAAACCATTGCACCCAGAACATATGTAAGGACCTCCACCTGGAACCTTGGGCACGATATTGCAGGTGAGTGAGGCTGGGGCGCAGACTACTTTCCTTTGTAGTGACTTGCCGGGAGACCACTCTGTTTTGGCTTCTCATTTGATCGTTGTAGTTCAAGACGATAAACAGTTTCATGCTATCCAACGGTACCTGTGTGAGCTTCATGAGCAAGGGCTCTCAAGAAATGGGATACACAGTTTGACTCCTCAGCTGATGGACCGCTGGACAAATTCACAGCTCAATCAGAACCAATGCAGGATCTCTCTTCTGAGTGCGACTCCATCTTTGTGCGCTTTCCAGATGCAGCTGGGATTCAAACACTTGGGATTGCTCAGGCCTGTGCTCCTTACTTACATTTGTGAGGCTCTTAAAAAGCAGTGCCCGATAGTAAATCTGTCTTATTGATTGCTTTCAGGCTCCGCACCAGAGGTCTACTTGTTTTCCCTTCATGAAACATCCACTGCACAAGCAATATGGTCGAAGGAATCCCTATGAATCCCTATGCTACTAGAACGGCCCTCTGACACACCCAGGGGATGCAAAGCTTCCGCGATGTTGCCTACACGGAGGCTCAGGCGAACGAAGGACTTGAGGTGGATGAGGTGCGGAAGCGCCACTGGCAGTGCCAAACATTCAACCTTATTCCACCGTGCACATAGGTGAATAATGCACGTTGAAGTTGACATGTTGTAACTGCATTTCAGGCAGTGGACCGCATCCGCCCTGGTGTAGCAGTTCGTTTGAGGTGGGCGTCCTGGTCGAATGCGAGAGGCGCATTCTTCTCCGTTGAGGGAGTTTGCCGTTCTCTGCCAACAGGCCATGCGCCGCCAGCTGCGGAACACCAAGCCGTGAGATAGGCAGGACCATGGTCTGTTGGCGAGATCAATGTGACAAACTACTCAGAGTCCAGAGGACATGAGTGAAGTGTTTCAGATCTTCCCGAGCTGTGTCGATAGGAGTAGTTTTTGCTCTGCATGGTGATGCCACTGCAGTTGTCGACTTCTTGAGCAACTGGGGCCAAGCTCCTACCTTCCAAACTACAAGCAATTCAGTACCACGAAACATATGAGCCCCTAGTAGCGTCCTTGCTCCTAGTAGCGATGCCCTTTGTTCCTAGTAGCTTCTTGTTCCTAGTGCCCCTAGTAGCGTCCTTGCTCCTAGTAGCGATGCCCTTTGCTCCTAGTAGCTTCTTGTTCCTAGTGCCGCTAGTAGCGTCCTTGCTCCTAGTAGCGATGCCCTTTGTTCCTAGTAGCGATGCCCTTTGTTCCTAGTAGCTTCTTGTTCCTAGTGCCCCTAGTAGCGTCCTTGCTCCTAGTA